GAGGCTCCAACCCAACTCGCAGTAGAAGATAACTCCAAGCAATAGGCGAAGAAAAACTCACGGTGGAAGGAAGCCGACGCCGAACGAAGAGGAAAAATGATCGCTTGAAGAAGAACGGAGAAAACCTGTTTTCGGGAAATGACAGAAGACCGCGCGAGGATTGGTGGGTCCGAACCAAACAAATTTATATTAGGTTAGCTGTTTTTTAAATTTTAGAGGCGGATGCCTTTAAACTGTGAGGTGAGGCGCGCCTCAGTAAACTTGAGGCGTACGCCTCAAACCTGAACTCATTGCGTGGGCTTTGAGGCTTAAAGGGGTGAAATTGTGCTGAGGCGCGCCTCTTGTTGCACAATTTTAAAACATGACTTACACTTCCTTGAGTGTATCTATAGCCGAGTTACTTAATATCATCCAGAACAAAGAGTTCTTTAAGCGACCAACTCTCATGAAGGAAAATGTATGTCTTCCACAGGGACCACGACCATATTACGAAGGAGTGTTCCATCTACGATGTTTAATAAAAGAACTCATGAAGGACCAAAAGTTAAAGTTCCGTACTCGAATCCTGATCGATGCTCGAGAAAAGTTCTTATTGGAGGAAGAAGCAATGAGCCTATCCCAACTCACTCGGTACATATTACAAAAGTAGTTTCTACTATTTATGGGTAGAGTGCAAGAGAACCGGTTGACATGAGTGTAGAAGATGAATGTCAGGGAGTTCAACTCAACATCTATCTCACGAGCTTTAGTGGTAGAGATTGCCACAGTTACTTTTGCGAAAGCTAACAAGCCCGTAGGAGGGAATTCCCATAACGATGTCATCGTTGTCACCACCTTGATTTGCAATTGCCAAATTGGCCACATTCTAATATATATAGGGAGTTCTAAAATATATTTTTAAATCTATTTTAAAAAAAGATGAACTTGCTTGCTTCTTAGCTCACCCCCACTATAGGTCCTCTTTATAGCTTCTTAGGAGAGTGTAGGGAAACTGAAGGAGTAATTGTCCTGCCTACCTAGGGTAAGGGTGAATATCAGTATATAGCCATGGTCGACCTTATCATAGTGTTGCATGCTCTAGCCACCTAGAATACCATCTTTGGTAAGTTCTTACTGAACACCTTCAGGACCACAGTTTTATCATGGGGCTCACAATGAAGGGCGACCTCACTTAGTCGCACCTACTGTCCATACTAACCACATTAAAAACACCAGCTTGATACTCTATAACATTAACCATTGTGCCACCTGCCACAATGCTGACATAATAGTGCCCCATTGACTGAACTTGCAGAGTTGGCAACACTGTCTCTATACGATCTAGAAGAAATTGCTACCGATTGTCCCCTTCTTCTGAATTTAGCTTATCCAAATATTATATTCTTCCCAAAATAGCTATTGCCAGCTATCTCACTATCAAAACCTCTTCCTACTAGCAGTCCATTGTTGTTGAATTTCTATCGGATCAGTCTCTACCCTCATGGCCCTCCCGACCAATTGAGAAAAATCTTTAATGTCTTATGCCTATAATAGTTGTCTCAAAGTATTTCGCAGACCATCCAGAAATCTGTAACACTTCTCCTTAGAAGTGTCAATCAACTATGGAGCATGCCTAGAGAGAGCAATAAACTTTGTCTTGTATTGTATCACTGTCATATTCCCCTGAATCAATTTTAGAAAAGAGCTCTATAGCTATCTCCTAGCATACGACGGTACAAACCAAGTCCTATACGTCTTTGTAGACTCTTTCGAAATTATCAAGGTATTTGCACGACCCTGAAACTTCTTCTTCTGCTAGCCCAACCACCAGCATAAACCACCAGCATTTTTCTTCACTGTCTAACAAAAATACAGCTAATACAATTCTCCTCTCATGAAGACAATAAATCTCATCTAAAGTCTTATTTATCCTCATCAGCCAATCCTCAGTTATCTTAGGTTCAATAACACCTGAAAGTCTAGGAGGCTGTAACATCATGAAATTCTATAAATATCGGTCCCCTTAGGCAAAAAGTTGAATTAATAAATTGAAGTACCGTGCGAAAAGTTGAAACTGAAATGGATATTGATATTGAATTTTAATAAGCATTTAAATTGTTATTGAAATTTTACTGAAGCCGACTGAAATATAACAATCATTTCATAGTAATTATTAGAGTGACCCTCATGCACCAACTTTTTATATATAACAATTAATAGAATCCCTTCTCGCAACAAAATCCATTCTTATTGCCAACATAATTTTTTCTCATCGCCATTAGAATCTCTTCTTATATAATATAGTCATCGGACTCTGGAATTTTCAATACATAACATAATAGAATCCTTTCTCGCCGAAATAAAGTCAAAATTTTGATAAATAATTATCAAATTAGATTAATATAAAAATGATGACATTCATAGTAGATATAGTTTATATATTTTGGTAATGCATATCATGAAATGTGTGTATGTAAGAGAAGGTAGCTATTATTCTTTAGGATGTTGGAGACATAATACCTTATGCATGAGGGTGAGCCAATAAACTTTTAATTAAATATGAGTTAGTTGTGTAAACTGAATACATGATGGAAGATATAAAGTTGTGATGTGATATGACTTAAAGTACCGATGGGCTGGGGATGATGACTCTCTTGTACTATGTCTTTTAACTATTATTACTCATATGATATGATATGATAATGAACCTCACTTACAATGATTGGTAGTGAAACATGACTATATTCGCCATATTATCTCCTCTCAGAGTTATTTTATGAGTCTACAAAAAATGCTAAAACGGTTGTAAAATAATTCTCCACCCAGTATTTTACAGTTTGTCAAAATTAAGTTTTTAGAATTTCACCATATTACCCAAGATTATATATAACAATGTTCTAAAACTTTAACTATACTAAAATACTATTTTTTATGTCAAAATAAAATTTTGAATGAATAAAAATTGCTGCTTTTCAAAATCACCCAATGGAAAATCTCGAATAAATACTCAAAACGATCATAATAATCGTATCCATAACATATCAGAAGTTCCACGGATAAAAGTTACCGGAATTTGATAAAATTGCATTTTTGTAAAACCAAACTATAAATTCGATTGAAAAAATCCTAAAAATACTTAATTATTGAAAACAAAAATAGGCAAAATATAACCTACCTTGACCCAAGCAACTTTTCTAACTGAACTGATTGGTAAAATTAACTCTACGACCTCCAAACCCTAGTTCCTCTCCTCTCTTTTTCTTCTCAATTTTCCTTTTTCCTTCTCTGGCTTGAGAAAGCAAAATTAAAAATGGGGAAATGACAATTTGATGGTTTCTACAAGTGCATTTAAATTTTTATAATAGAACATTGATAAGAAATACTTGAGTTCGCAAGTAACCCCAAGGGAAATACTTGAGTTCGCAAGCAAACCTATCACTAATTGGTGAAAACAGCGAGAATAATGCAAAACTGGGCGGAAAACAGCCCCAAACGATGGATTGCAATAAGAGAATCAAAGTCAAACAAAGACGAAGCAAGATACAAGTGATTCTCAATTCGAGAGGAGGATCGTCCTCTCGAATTGAGGATCAATTAAGGATCCTCCTCTCGAATTCAGGATCAATTGTATCTTTGTTTCGTTCTTGCTTCGTTTTGATTCCTATAAGATTATTTACGATTTTTGATTGTTTCCACCAAAGTTCTTCTATTTTTCTCGCTGTTTTACCGATTATTATTAGGTTTGCTTGCAAACTCAAGTATTTCCTATTAGGGTTACTTGCGAACTCAAGTATTTCCTATCAAAATGATACTAGAAAGAAAAGCTGTGGTTTTATTGATGAATTTTATGGTACAAATTTTCCAAGAGAAGGGTCTCTAAAATGGTTTTTTAACTCTGTATCTATGGGGTTTTGAACACTACAGAATTGACTGCATTCATAGCTATGCAAAAATAAGAGATAATTATAGTAGTTGTGTAGCCCGATTGAAATATACGACTTGATGAAGTCATCCGCCGAGCTCTAAGAGGTCACCAACTTGGTATGTATTGATAGTCGAATAGCCAGGTAACCGATCAATAATTTGTCTTGAGAAGTCATCCTTCCTTGACTAGTCGTCAATGAGTATTTCTTAGATAATAGTTGCTAGGACCGACTAATAGTTCATACTCATCTAAATTGGATGATAGAATACAATCACTTGTTTGAGATGAGTTCTTTCATAGACTGGCGAAGTCCTTTCAAGTTGCTTGAGTAGATTTGAGTTAAATTAACTTGAACCAAGCCGACTTGGCTTGAACTGAGTTTTCTGGACATTTGGTTGTATATTTATAAACAAGAGACAACCTTTATCACATCGCCAGGCATATTAGGGATTTTGCCAACGTATTTTCCATTGCTTGAAATATCTCTTGTTACGCTGTATTTTAGTTTCTAAGCTAGGCCCCATATGCAATCAGTGATGATTTAATTCCTTTATCTTGTCACAATGCTTTTAATCATAATTACTTGGTTGAGGCGATCACTCTTGATTGCGCGTAGACCTCTATCTAGCACGACCACAAGAAAGCAAATCTTTTTTGTTGCAGTCCCCTGTGTTCAAGTGGTTTCAACACTTTCGGCCCAACTGGATCTCATGGCTTTCTGTAACTATTTCTCGTTTTTACTCAGGAAAATGCATTTGAGAGTAGATTTTTTCCCTTTTTTTTCGGCTTGGTAAAACAAATTTTTTTTTTTTAATTGTCCTATCAAAATTGTGAAATTTTCATGCTCGATTTAAGCAAGCAAATATTGACAGGTGTCTATTTATGCATCTTTGTTGAGGTCTGAAATGTTCGCTTTCGTTTAATAACTTGCTAGAGAGTCTTTGGAATTACATACAACTTGCATTTTGTTTCTGCTGCTCATTGGGCAGAGCACTTCGTTCTCCCTTTTATTGTTTTAGCCAATTATAACCTGCAGTAGTGGTTCTATTACTTAACAAATGAAATTGCATTTTTTTTTTTTTTTTTTGCGGTACAGACTGATTATTTTCAATCTTTCAAGCTTCAAAGACCAGTCATCTGCATTGATGGAGTTTTACAAATTGAAATGTTGAGCAGGGATCCTGCTTATGAGTTACCGGACTTATGGTTAGTTTTCTAAGCTTCAATTTATATGCAAAGAATCAAGTTTGGTACCCTTAGTGAGAGGCCATTCTTGTTGGCTCATTCTTTAGGTTTCCTTTGGAACAATATTTTTACTGCTTCTTAAATCTGATTTCTTGTGCAAAAAATATTTTTTTTGCATAAGAAAGCTGCTTTAAGAAGCAGTAAAAAAGCTGTCACAAACGAAACTAAAATTGCTCTGAAATTTTATGTTTAAGAGTTACTATCCCATGCACCCTAAAATGAAATTTTGGTGGAAATAACTCCAATCATGAATAGCATGTAAACATCCTAATGAACCTCGAGTAAAGGTTTATACGCAGTATGCTTGTCTTAAAATAGAGAGTGGATTTAAAGGAGTGATTAGTTGCCCCTGCCGTGACTCAATCATAGATAGGTTCGAGCACAAAAATAGACTATCTACATTGCAAGTTAAGTTGCGTGCATTAACCCCTCAAAGCCTGTAAATGGGAGCTTCGTGCACTGTGTAAGCCCTTTTTTACTGATGAGAAAATCTCTTCCACATTTTTTAAATGTTCTTATGTACCTTCCACTGCTTGACTGCAAGACCCACCCGTCGAGTAGGGACGAAAGTCGGCCTTAGTGATCCGACGATGCCGAGTGGAAGGGCCGTCGCTCAACGGATAAAATTTACTCAGGCTGATCTTCCCCAAGAGTCACATCGACGGGAAAGTTTAGCACCTCGATGTCGGCTCTTCATTTGCCACCTGGGGCTGTAGTATGTTCCAAGGGTTAGGTTGTTCGCCCATGAAAGCGGTACGTGAGCTGGGTTCAGAACGGTGTGAGACACTTCGGTCCATATCCGATGCGGGCGCTCTACAACTTCATGAGCATGTGGACCAAATTATAGAGTAGTTCATATTTCTATATGAAATTATTTTATTTCGTGATGCACAACAAACATATATCATCAGGTAACGGCACAACTTTTGGAATGAAAGCTTAAATGTTTGCAATAATGCTGCCATGTTTGCTACCATAGCTTCAATTTTCTTTTATAATATGCATCAAAGGCTTCTCTAATTAGTATAGGAAACCTGAGATCTGCGTTTGTTTTTATCCCCATTTTTTTCCTTTGCCGCTAAAGAAGAATGCTTAATCCTTGTTTAATTACAGTGATTCTCAAGTTAAAGCAATAGTAAGCCCTCTTGCACCAGCATTCGATGTGAACCTTCTTGACAGATTGGGAAATTCAATTTTGTTGTATTTCCCTCGTGCTGTAGAGTATCTAGATGATGTTACTGCTCAACAGCCTCGTCGCTCGTCGCGATGGAAACCATGGATGAAAGTAAAAAGGCGAAAAAAGAATAGGTGGAATCATGATTCTGAGTATAGATAGAACTGAAGTGTGTGAAGTGCTTTTTCCAAGTCATGAAAACTATTGTTTGTATGCCATATGATTGGATGATCATTGTTTTCAGTGTCTATCATTGGATTTATTTGATCAATGTGATTTAAATGTTTTAGGATGAAGTATGATATCTCGAATTTTTGTACTTATTGGAAATCTATTAAGCTATGCTACTTTTATAAATTCTCATGCACTCTACATGGCTTGTTTAGAGTAGGTGGTTTAACGGTCTGTTTTTTTGAGAAATTATTCTGTGCGGAGACCAAATGCAGAATGCTGTCCGGAGACCAACCAGAATGCATCACATCAACGGTACCGAGCGAAGGGGTGACATGGCGCATTTTGGTTAGTCTCTGAACGGCGTTCGGCATCCACACAGAATAATATTTCTTGTTTCTTTAGATGGTATCGCTAACAATGTGTTGTGCTAAGCCAACACTACCAAATGAAGCCAACTTGTTAGGGGATTTGTCACTTGAATCTCACTTTCAAGAGGAAAAGTGTTGTCAACTGAAATCGTTACTTTTCAAGAAGACATATCTTTTAATGTTAGACTGGCTAGTTTGGATTGCATTAATTAAATTTATGGAGAAGGAATTCTTCTACTAATGGACAACAACCCATTGAATCATATTCAATGTAGATCATGTTCAATGGAATATTGTTTTTTTGGAATTTAAAGCTTTATATGTTGGAATTATATTTATTATGTTACATATAGATGATTTTTTGTCGAAAAGATGCTTATTGGTGGAATTTTATCTTTTAACATTCAAGCACGTCATGAATATTCAAACAATGTCGTTGCTAGGTATGAAGTACTGGATGAGAAAAGTGGAGGATTTCGTTAGGTAGTTGAAAGTCATCATAAAATTTATTGTATAATCATGACATGAATGACAATAAGATGTTCAAATTTAAATCTCTCAATATTTCAATTTTGAATTCAAATAAAAATTTTTTAAATCTGAGTTTAATTTAAATAATTGTTTTTTCTGTAATATGATACATTATTTTAATTTGTAGCTAAATTCTACAATTATGGTATTTTAATTTGTCGCTAAATTTTAGCTGAGGTGAAACATATTGAAGGGCTATTTTGTTTGTTATTATTAAATTGGGGGTGTTATGTGTTAGAAAATTTATGGTGGTAGAGTTTTTATATCTTAGCTTATATGAAAATTCAGCCCGTAGAAAAATAGAAGTTGCAAGGATAGAAATTTTTATGTGGAAAATATAAAAATGGAAAAAAAATTATAGGGCTAAGTCTAGTTAAAATAGTTCACTAAATGATTAAAGATATAAACATTTACCTTTCTTTATAATTAAATAAGATGGGGTTATACAAAATTGTCAATTATTGTATTATTCTATAGTGAGTTGTGTCTATAGTTGGCCAATGAAAATTAGGTGATGGCGATGGTGATGGCAGTTTCTAAGGATAGTTTTATTTATCTCTCAGTTTAAGAATCTTTTTCATATAAAAAATGGAGCTTAATTTATAGCCTTTTTTATATTGGTACTTTGATAAATGTATTATAATCAAATACACGCCATCGAACATCTCATGTTAGTCCCCTTGAACATAGATCATTTGTTCAAAAGTTGAGTGCCCTAATGATCTATAATTGAATGATCATATAATCTTTAAATTCGTCTCATCAATCTGTTCAATTTGAATGTAAACATACAAGATTTGAAGACCATTTTATTTTTTTCTATATGCTTCATATGATTCGAATCATATGTTAATTTTTTTAGAGTCTTATTATCGAGAAATTTAGTTTGCCTATAAACTTGTTGAAATTTGAATTCAAATGGTTATGAGCTTAATTTTAGAGGTTTCTAAAACATAATAATACATCGAAATTTGCATCAATCAAGTAAAATTTTCTAAGATAATTTTCTCTTATATTTAAACGTCAAAGCTTATGTCATCCTAAAATATATATTGAACCTTCCACAAATTCATAACGAAAAATTATAATGTCAAAAAATTTATAATACGTGATTATTCATTGGACTTCAACGTGGACCTCTAATTGGGGCTTTGAGTTTTGAAAAACTTTCTAAATTGCAATTCATGAATCATGGTGAAATATTTATCGTCTGATTTGCTATCTTCTTCATGAATCATCGTCAAAATGTGTCACTATAGCATTTAGCAAGAATTAGTAAATTTATACGCGATGCTCAAGTCTGCATCTCCTATAGGGAGCAAATGGTTGTAACTTCGATGAGAGTTCCCTTGAAGAATTAGTTCAGTTGATTTTTCTTTATTAAAAATGAGTGGAGCCTTTTTGAAATATGGGGAAGACTAGACGAGTTGTATGTTGATATGTTCCTTTGTATGTTGGACAGATATAAATTAGGTTTTTTAAAAAGTTGTTATATCTGCTCAGGCAGACAGCTTTTGTATTGCTTTATAAAGTATTTTTTAGCATAAATTTAAAAAAAAAAATTGTATTAAAAAGTTGTTTTAGAAAACAGTAAAAATTAAAGCTATCCTAAATGAAGCATAAATCAACACTAACTCTCAGGAAAGGATATAGATGCATCAAGAAATATTAGGGCACTCTATTGAATACAGTTTATCTTTCATTCCTTGTTTTCTTAGAGACAATTATGACTCATTTGGTTGTTTGGATTAGTAAAAAAAACATTTTTAAGTTTTTTTTTTTTTTTAATTTATCATTTAGTTCAATATAATTAATTAAATATTAACATCTATTTCAAACATTATAACATCTCAAAATTACCGTAAAAATAACAATTTTATTTTTACAATTAAATAAATGAAAACAAAATTAGCATGGAGTACTTAACAAGGGAAATTTTTTAAACTAAGCATCATATTAATTATAATTAAGTGATTAACCAACGGAAAAAAAAAATTTTAAACTCGCCAAAGTCTCCCGTTGAACGGGCGACTTATATTTTAAGTAAGTCGCCCGTTTAACAGGCGACTTACTCTTCACTTTATACACCCGCGAAGAGCCCTTTTCTTGCCCTAAAAGTGTTCGTTTTTGCCTCACGACTCGGCGGCTCTCGGCAAATCTGGGCAAATCCGCGAGGTAAGGGAGTTTTAAAAATTTTTTTTGGCATTTTTTGTGTTAAATTTCTTTCCTTTAGTGGTTTATTTCATTTGAATGACTTATGTTGGAAGTTTAGGGTTTCTTTAGTGCTTAGATTTAGGTTTTGTGTGTGCTAAGTGGTATTTTTTTGTGAAAGCTTGAGGAATTTTTTGATTTGTGGAAAGAACTTAATTTTTGCTAAGATTCTTTTGGGCAAATATAGATTTTCATTTTTTTTTTTTGAGATATATAATATGTTGAGCATATATTATATGAAAAATTTTGTGAAAAAAAATAAAATAATACATGTATAATTAAAAAAAATTTGTATTAAAGATATCTTAAAATTAATATAAGGATATTGTTTGTTAATTTCCTTTTGTTTGTTAGACAACATGAATTTTTTTGCCAAATATGACTACGAATGTCATATCTTCGTGTTAGGGTTAGATTTTTATATCGAGGTACAATATAGATAATCGTGGGCAACTAAAGGTTTTCCCTATTAAAATAGAAAGTTAAATGTTGGAGGATGGTCTACTTAAAATGCATTTGCTTAACATATCGTTATAAAGGGCCAACATTCATTTACCTTCAATAATTGGTAATAGTTAGTACTAAATAGTTATAAAATATAGTTATAATGTTTGAGGGATTACAAGGAATTTTTAATATAAAGTTAACTTTTTAAAATATTTAATTTCAAATAATTATGATGAGAATAATTGTATAAAAAATTAATATAAATACGAACATTATATGCAAATTTCTTTTGTTAATCTTTATGTGAATAAAAAAATATCTATTTAAATATATTTAGTTAAATTCCTATGTGTGAATTTATTTGTTGAAGTATAGTAAGATTGTGTATGGGTAATTGTAGGTAATCATAAACTATACTTAGTAGTGCAACAATGTCTGGACGAGGAGCATCCTTTGTTCTTATGTATGGTGGGCACTTGTCTTTAGATGATAAATATTCACCAACATATGTTGGGGGTAGTTATCGGCCGTTGCAAGTATCTGCAAATATGAACTTAGAGCAACTGAAGATTAGAATTCTGAAATCCCTAAAATATGATATGTCGAAGTACTCAGTAAACTTAGTTTGTCGTTTACCCTTGGGGAATGAGTTCATAGCTTCAGTTGTGGACGATGATGAGGTGTGTCAGATGGTGTTATCACATGCAGTTGGGCAAATACTTCTACTTTATGTAGAGGTCAAAGAAATTAATACATAAAATATAGCTGTTGAGCAACTAACAGCTCACATGCACGAGACATACACTTTCGACTTGGATGTCACCTGCTCCCAGACACTTCAGGCTCTGAAATTTATTTACAGTACTTGTCGTTGATGGAGGATATAGCAATATTCAGGACATACTCACTTGGAGGTGCAGTACTAGCTCATTTGTATAGGGAGCTATCTGAAGCAACTAGACCAAAACGAGCAAACATAGCAGGGTGCATCCACTTATTACAGATATGGGCTTGGGAGCATCTACATGTTGGAAGACCTCAGCTTCATGTACCATTTCCTGTTCAGCTTGATGGTTTGAGTGTTGGAATAAGATAATTTGTTATATTTATGTTATTTATTTTTAATTTTATTGCTAAAGTATTAATTAATATTAAATAGGTGGAATGAGGAACGACTTCGGGAGGTACCTGTAGGAAATGTTATGACATACAGGGATGAGCTGGATGGCTTACTGGAGAGTCAGGTATGTTAAGTATAATTATATTGATACATTTTAATCATATTTGTTCCATATTATGACGAATAATTTGTTATATAAAAATGATACAGGTAATATGGGAACCATACACTGCAGAGATTCGTGCTCAGGTTCCAGAGATATGCACTTCAGGTCAGGACACTTGGCTCTCCAGAGTTCCTTTGATCAGTTGGAAAAGGGTATAGTGACATCTCCCTGATCGAGTACTACGACAATTTGGATACTGTCCTTCCACTGATATCATGCCAATGGATCCTAGTTTTGTAAGAGTTGATGGACGTGGTAAGTCAGATACTAATTGAGCATTGTATCACCAAGCAAGTATTGCACTATTGATCTTGGTCCCTCTCAGAGCCACTTCACAGCTGAGTTTGACGTCGCCTCCACACCTCAGTTTGTACCTTCCTCCTTGGGAGAGCCCCCAGTTACTCAGCAAGATGTTAGTGATCAGGACCAGCGTCATCTACGTACCAGGCCACTACGAGCAACTCAGCATTTTACTCCATGCACTGATGCGATTCCACATCGACATAAAAGGAGGCATTAGTTTTTTGTATCATGTATCTTTTAGTTGCTTTAGTTATATTTTGTTGTTTATGTTTCTTATTGTGCTACTATGGAACTACTATTTCATATCATGGAATTAAATTTATTATGCTCTTCTATTAACTCTTACATGAAGTTTGATCTAAAAAACATAATGTTGGATGATCCAAGAACATATAATTTTTTAAAGAATTTGTAATATTTGATATACATATATATACTTATTATAGTTTATTGTTATCAATTAGAGCGTATATAACTTCTGAATGATCTAAGAAAATAATCTTTCTAAATTTGAATTTTATATATACCAAAAACTTGAAAAATAGATTAAGCCTCTTATTATATATATATACCAAATCCAACTTTTATTCATAAAACAAAAAAGATAATAATTAATCATAATCTTTTTTAGTTGCAATTTTATTTTTATATTCACAAGAATAAGTCGCCCGTTCAACGGACGACTTATTACAATTACACAATCTCGTTACTTCAAGAAATAACGGTAGTCGCCAGTTGAACGGGCGACTTACTTCGCTGATATAAGTCGCCCGATGAACTGGCGAGTTTTAAATTTTTTTTTTTTTCGTTGGTTAATCGCTTAATTATAATTAATACGATGCTTAGTTTAAAAAATTACCCTACTTAACAATAGATAATGAGATTAGCAGTGTAAACGAGCCAACCCGGCTCACGAGATTATCCAAGCTCGATTCGATAGCAAGTTCATGAGCTGAATTTATCGAACTTCGAGCTCAAACTCGCCCGAGTTCGATCAAAATGCTGCTGGAGTTGGCAGCTCGTCGAATGGCTCGAACAGCAGTCCGCAGAGAAAGAAAAAAATCGAATCAGACGGACAGGAGTGCGGGATCGCGGGACCAACGCATGAAATAATCTAGGTTTAGTAGGCAAGTAGCGAACGGCGAAAAGAGGAAGAGGCGGAAGCCATTCCTTCATCTTTGTTTCAGTTTTGTTCAAGTTTCGGAACTTCGGCTTTGTTCCGCGCATTCCTTCGGATTTCCGTTCTAGCAGCCAGTGCCCTAGTCTACCGCAGCAGCACAAGCCAAACTTAGGAGAGAAGATTTCACGTTCTCAGAAATTTGATTGCTGCAAGGGTTTGAGTGATTTTTTATTTCAATTAATTGATGCTGTCTTTGTTTTCTTTCCATGTTGCTTTCTTTCTGCAAATACAAATTTAAATATACTTATTACTTGTTTTAGGGAGGCGGAACGGATTTGTCTGATTCATATTTATCTAGTATTTGGAGAAAACAGGGAGGTGAGGCATTGATATCAAGTATTTTGCATGCTGTAGTTATTTATATTGCCTAACGTGCTTTTGGTGCAGCCATAATTTTCTATTTTGAATGTTGTTTGGATTGTTTTTATTTTCCTTAAAAATATTTACATTGAAACAATTATGAATGAACAAGCCATTATTTATTTGACATTTTCTGTGTTATAAATTAGGAATGAGCAAGCCATTACATTTTTTATAGATATGAGGAAGCTACATTTTTGTACTCGTGCTAAATTTCTTGATAGCTTGACATTTTTTACTCGACTCGTTTATGGGCTTGATAGCTTGACATGAAGTGCATTTTTTTATGAATTTTTCCATTGAACTGTAAAAAAATTTTTGTATGAAGATGAAATTCATATGCTAAGAATAATTATAATCACATTTAAGGAAATAAGATGAATAACATTAGTTATTCATATATGTAAGTAGAATTTTAAAAAATAATAAAAAGGAGATTCAAACAACATTCATAATTGTTTCAATATAAACATTTTTAAGAAAAATAAAAACAATACAAACAACATTCAACAACAACAACAACAACAAGCCTTTATCCCACTATGTGGGGTAGGCTACATGAATCATTTTTGTCCATTGTGCCCTGTTAAAAGTTAAAGAAATGTCATTTCTAATGTTTCATAATCAAGTCTTTACGTCTACCTCTACCTTTCTTAACATAAGTCAAATATAATACATCTACTTTCCTAACCGGGTCATCGGAAGGTTGCCGTTCTATGTCTCCATGCTAAGCTGGTGCAAATGCCGAGTAGTAGTTCATAGTAACTTGCTAAAAATTACTCTCATAGCTATCTTTCTCTTCTTGGGTGTAATTTGGATGGACTTGATAGTCTGTTTAGTTGTGTGCACAGGCAGCAGAAAGTAAAGGAACCATCATATTAGAAAGTACATCATTCTTGTTATCTAATCTGCTAAAATTACACTTCTAGTTATTTTTTCTTCATGGCATTTGTAAGACCACATAATCCTCATGGACATGTAATGCTGATGACTATAACTTTGAGGCTATTTAGTTTGCTATGAAGATGTTTTGAGTTAACAAAATACACAGGAATTTACTTCATTGTGTTCAGTTTTGGCAAGGTTGCTCCATTTCTTTGCACCAGACCATATTGTAGCAGTTGGGCCACACTTCCCTTTTACTTTAGAGAGCACTTCCGTTGCAGCCAATTGGACCACACTTACTCTGAAAGAATTTTGTTTGCACAGAAAAGCTTCTTCTGCCAACCAAACAAACCCTAGAACTATGCTTGATAAAATGTATAAAAATAAAGCTGATGATGTTGCACTAGTTGAAATTTAAGATGTCTTGGGTTTGGTCCCTCTGAATTTTAAGCTGAATTAACAATATTTATATATTTTTAATATGTTTTGGAGTATTTTACTAACACGAATGTGCAGCAACATGCATTTAGTGCTATCAGAATAGTTGAACTCTTTTTCTTTCTAATTGGCAGACATGAAGGTAAGATCATCGGTGAAGAAGCTATGTGAATTTTGTAGGACCGTGAAGCGTCGTGGAAGAGTTTATATACTATGCACTGCTAATCCCAAGCACAAACAGCGACAAGGCATATCAACCTTTGCTTATGAGGGTCCATTGCAGCCTGTGTATGTGTACAAATTCTTGTGTTCTCCTCTGCTCCTTGAAGTATTTCATTTATCTTTTACGCAATATAAACATTTTTCTGTTTTTTTTCTAGTCACCCGATAAACTTCTATCAATTTACAATGCCTAGTATACCAACCAATTAAATAAAACAATGCAAATGGGATTTTTATTAAAATTCATTTTAGTTTCAAAATTCAAGGATTTCCGAAACCACCGTTCATTGCTATGTGCCCTCCCTTCACCTCCAATTTTTAACCAACCAAAAGGCAAAGGTAAGTGTTAAATATTGATACGATGACAAGTTTCCACCAGCTCAAAAATGTTCTCTTGCCTACTTGTTGCATATTTTCACCACAAGTTAGCTGCTCATATATGAAAACTCATGCCCTTATTAATTTATTTAAATATCACAAGAATCATTAGGCTTATCTGAATTAATTAAAATTAGTTTATCTTTAAAGTTAAGCTTTTAGATTGAGGACATCACTTCTTGTCATTGTTGACCTGCATATTCATATTGCAATCAACTCAAGCGAGTGTGACGAGAAAGATGTTCGAAGAACGTGATGTTTTGCGCATAGCAAGTTCAAATGCCTCAATGGTGGCCAACTAACTCCACGTCGGCTAAAGCAATTATGAAATATCTTGATCGTGGCCCAAGTAACTTAAACATTGCCTGTTGGTGTAATAGACCGCACTGATGCATTTAGGACAATCTGAGGCGCGCCTTTGCGCAATTTGCTTCAAAATAGCCTCAAAGCCTACGCAATTCTCAAGCATCATGAGGCGTACGCCTTAGGTGGAGTGAGGCGCGCCTCACTAGCGTTATTGCGCAATTTCCTTTGAGGCGTACGCCTCAAATATATGCTCAGTACCGCTCAGTATATGCTCCATACCGCTCAGTATATGCTCGGTACAGCTAGGTACATGCTCGGTACTGCTAGGTACATGCTCGGTACTGTTCAGTATATGCTCGGTACAGCTAGGTATTTGCTCGGTACTGCTAGGTACATGCTCAGTACCACTCAGTATATGCTCGGTACAGCTAGGTATTTGCTCGGTACTGCTAAGTACATGCTCGGTACCGCTCAGTATATGCTCGGTACAGCTAGGTATTTGCTCGATACTGCTAGGTACATGCTCGGTACCGCTAGGTACATGCTCGGTACCGCTAGGTACATACTCGGTACCGTTAGGTACATGCTCGGTACCACTCGGTATCTTCCCATACAAACAACTTGCAAATTTCAAAAACAAACAGAACTTCAAAATTACTCTTACAATAAAATTTTGTTCCGGGGGCGCTGCCCCTGGAAACCCCCGCAGGGGCGCCGCCCCTTGACCTCGCGACCTAACCAGGCAGGTCGAACCCCGCCAAGGGGCAGCGCCCCCTTGGACCCCCGGCAGTCCAGCATATTATTCTATTCATCATCTTTAGTAATAGTTGTTAGTGTTAGTCTACTTCTTCGTGAGTGCATGCTTTGATTGGAAGACATTGGACTCTATAAGAGAGGAGGAAGGGGTGAGAAGATTCCCTTGAAGACCCATTTAGTGATGAGACATGATTGGATTATATATGTTCTTTCTTAATTGTACTTTGGGAGTTTTGATAGACTAATATTTTGGTTTTGTACTTTTGGACATGATTTTATTGCATATATTTTCCTACTTTCCCTTTATTTCAATTGTCATTTAGATGTTTTTATTGTATGATAGAATCTTACTATTT